GCTGATATGTAACAGCAGGAAAACCAGCAATTGCCTACAAAGTCACAACCACCTTTACTACTTCACAAACATTTGAACCTGTAATTTACGGAGAGCTAGTTAATTGTGTTAATTTTTTTGTTGTTGTTGTTGGTTTATTTGAGAGCCTCTGTGTCACCAAGAACCAGGATAAAAACTTATCGACACCCATGTGATGTAGATAAGCAGACACTTCTTCACTGATGGCCGGACGTCGGGACGTGAGGGGAGTGTTCTCACCAACAACACATGCCGGGCACCAGAATCATACACCTTATATAGAACTTACTCATACATATTCATTAAGTATCTATACATAAAAAACCAATCTCCAAGAAATCATGAATATATTCTCCTCCTATTTCCAATTCTGCACAGTAAAGGTTAGAAATGTCTATAAATGGGTCTGGGGTGTAATGTGAGTAGGTGGTCCATGAGTCGGGGGTCACGATCTCCCCCTGCCGGAATTACCTTTTGCTTAAGGACACAATTTTCTTGGCAGGTACTTGCAAGCTGTTACAGTCACTTCCCTCATTCCCATTAATCCTGGACCTTGACAGCTACTTGCATTCTTCTAGTCCTTTTATGTATTATAAATCAGTTTACAAACCATCTTGTGTTTAATCCTGGACCTTGACAGCTACTTGCATTCTTCTAGTCCTATATATGTATTATAAATCAGTTTACAAACCATCTTGTGTTTTGTTACCTAGGTTCTAACCGTTCCTACTAAACAATTATGACCAATCCCTTCGGCCTTGGTACAGGGGATTTTAGAGTAGCAGTCGGTTGCTAGATTCAAAATACTATAAATGTAAAATGATTTTTACTAAAATATCTCTTAATTCTGTACTTATACTAAAATCAAACACAATTTAATTTCGGTTTATAATAAAATCAGTAACATCTGTAACAATTGGAGTAGTTGGCAGGATGTTGATAGAGGAGTTACTACAGAAATATAGTTGTGCCCCTTCTCCCCCAGATGTACGATGGGTGAAGGAGAGGTGGTTTGATCTGGTGGAAGTTGCGAGAAAGTTGGAACAAAGCCAGGAAAGTTGGTGGAATAGTGGAAGTGAAGGAAAAATGTGCACCATTTTTAGGTGCCTCCTGGATTCAGGCACAGGATTACTTTGTAGTAGTAGAGATGCCTTAGAGGAGCGGCTGGAAATCGATCATTTAAAGACAGGATTATTATGAGAAAAAGAGAGAAGGCGGTTATTAGAAAAATAAAATAAAATTATGCTGGCAGGAGCGAAAAAGCCCACTAGTGTTGCTCAGATTTGGAAGTTAATTACTAGTGTAGATCTTGAGGAGTGGGATGGAGATATTTGGAGAGAGTCTGATGAAAGTGGCTTGGAGGAAGTAGAGGAATTGGAGGAAAGAAACTGTAAACAGTGGTGTTTACCAGACAGCGGTTTTACAGTTAGGAGAACAGAAGTTACATGTGTTCTCTCAATAGCTATTGCCAACTGGTATCAAACAGGGTCTTTTTGAGGTGATTAATGATACTGGAAAAGGATTATAAAACCTACACATTCCTTTTATAATTCTCCGCTGTGGCCAGTCCGCAAACCAAACAAAAGGTGGCAATTAACAGTCGATTATGGGCGGCTGAATGCCCATCCAGGCCTTTTGTCAGGTGCAGGGCCGGGCTGGGCTGGGCGCAGCCTTGCAGGAGCCCGCCCCAAGTCTGGGACCAGCTTTTTGTGGTGCCTTTGTCATAAGCAGAGGTGACTTTGCTCCCCCGGGGACGGCGAGCAATTTACATTTGCATGTCTTTCGCCGACAATTGTTTGCTATGCACTGGCTCAAAAGCTCGCTAAAACCATCCCCTGAGAAGGGGTTAAGATCTTTGGGACACCCCCCTCCCCTCCTGTGGGAGTCGGGCAGTGAGAAACTGCGAGGGAGCGCTATGTGCAGTGAGACCATTATTGCCACACACGGCTGATAGAGAAGGAAACACCCAAATCAATTTAATCTGGTAACAGGAGCCACTTTACTGCCGGGGTGGTCCAGGAGTGGGCACACAAGGAACACAGGGGGTTTGCACACCCCATACTATCCTCAGGCTAACGGGCACAGTGGATGTGCTTGGGAGGCCTCAGATAAAGGTGGAAAAACTCACCCTATTAGTGCTTGATGGATAATCCCGAATTTTTAACTTGATGCCTGGATTCTGATCCGAGGCTTAGTTCTGGGGTTTTTGTTAGGATCTTGGAGGAACAGATGCCTTCGACATCCTGATTAGCAATGGTGATTTCTATGGACACTCAAGACTTAGATGACAACAGGGTGGCAAATGAATCCTGTGAGATTGGCAACATTCAGAAGAATGTGATTGAGCTTGGTGCTATTGTGCTAATGTCACTTCAGGTCAAAAAAATGGCAAGTGGCAAGAAACTTGAGGCAATTGTTGCTATATTAAGCATTAATTGATTAAATGGATATGTTTGAATCTTCCTTGTTAGAATGGTGAATCAGCTTCCTTCAGTTTGGATTGTAATACATTGTATGGTTGGAGGGTTGGGATTTTTTTTAAGATTTGACTGTATAATCATCTAGGGATAACAATCCACAATGAGTATGGAGACTGTCTGGGACCACACTCCTTTTTAACCTTGGAGGCAAGAGGCAACTGCACCGCCACTTCAAGGAAACCAGCTGAATCGTGATGGGTTGTGTGGCAGGTGCATCTGCCCAGTGAAAGTAGAGCTTCTTGCCTGCTGAAGTGTGGCAGCCCCTGACTGCCTTTGTTCTTGGGGCCTCTCAGTAACTGAGGCCTTTGGCCAATGGGAGCCTCTATTGAGCACAGGTCAGATTCCGCCTGGGTGTAAATGGACCCCCCTGGAGCAGCAGCTGTGGTCGAGGACTCTCCCCTTGTGTCAGGATGCTGCCTAAGGAAGCTCCTCGAGGAGCCTTGGGTCGAGATGCTGCCCTGAGCAGGTCCTCGAGGTTCAGAGCCCTCACTTGTCAGGTGAGTGATAAAGTGCTTTGGGTTGTTGTTAAACCCTAGAAAGTTGTTCTGTTCTCCTCTCACAGACATTCGCACCTGTAATTTATGGAGAGCTAGTTAATTGTGTTAATAATACTGGTTTTATTTTTGGTGATTTATTTGTCTCTATAACATGTGGCCAGCAGGGCACAGGAAAGGGATGTGAGCCCTGTGCTCAGCACTGGTGAGGCCACCCCTCGCTGAGTGGGTTCAGTTTTGGGCCCCTCACCCCAAAAAGGCCATTGAATGACTCGAACGTGGCCAGAGAAGGGCAACGGAGCTGGGGCAGGGTCTCTAGCTCAGGTCTGCTGGGGAGCAGCTGAGGGAACTGGGGGGTTCAGTCTGGAGAAGAGGAGGCTGAGGGGAGACCTCCTGGCCCTCGGCAACTCCCTGCCAGGAGGGGGCAGAGAGGGGGGATGAGTCTCTGGAGCCAAGGCCCCAGCACCAGGCCCCGAGGGAATGGCCTCAAGCTGCCCAGGGCAGGGTCAGGCTGGCTCTGAGGAAGGATTTCTGTGCAGAAGGGGCTGTTGGGCGTTGGAATGGGCTGCCCAGGGCAGGGGGGAGTCCCCGGGATCCCTGG